AGTCTGCTTAGTATGCAAAACCCATGATATTCCCCACAACCCATCTTACTAACCCTACTTACTATCCCCAAGCACCCCAAACCCCAACCCCATAAACCCTCTCCATGGAAAGCCCTGAAGTAGTCCCTGCATCAGGGGCCTCCGGTTTAGGGACGAAGCAGGGTTGAGACTTTTGATTTTGGGAGGGTCTGTCATGGAGCGCGAACAAGGGGTGAACCCCGAACCCTCACTCGCGAAAACCGTGCCATGAGCCCCAAAGCAACAACAACAGTCCGGGCTCCGGGCTTAGGGCTTGAGGGTTTCGAGTCTTGAGAGTTTAGGGCATAGGGTTTAGGGTTTAGGGTTTTAGGGTTTTAGGGGTTTAGGGGTTTAGGGGTTTAGGGGTTTAGGGGTTTAGGGGTTTAGGGGTTTAGGGGTTTAGGGGTTTTTAGGGGTTTAGGGGTTTAGGGGTTTAGGGGTTTAGGGGTTTAGGGGTTTAGGGGTTTAGGGGTTTAGGGGTTTAGGGGGTTAGGGGTTTAGGGGTTTAGGGGTTTCGGGGTTTAGGGGTTTTAAGGGTTAGGGGGTTAGGGGTTTAAGGGTTTACGGGTTTAGGGGTTTAGGGGTTTAGGGGTTTAGGGGTTTAGGGGTTTAGGGGTTTAGGGGTTTAGGGGTTTAGGGGTTTAGGGGTTTAGGGTTTAGGGCTTAGGTGAAACATTCTGGGACCCCGGCTCGTGCCAGCTCCCTAAGGACCCAGCAGCCTGGCGGAAGCCTCGGCAGGAAAGCGTCAACCCCTAAACCCTAAACCCTAAACCCTAAACCCTAAACCCTAAACCCTAAACCCTAAACCCTAAACCCTAAACCCTAAACCCTAAACCCTAAACCCTTTCGTATCCTGGACTACCGGGTTTCGGGTTTCGGGGTTGTTTGGAGTTTGTGGACAAAGGGGTTTGCAGCATCTAAAGGCCTTCATGGCCTGGGTCGGAAGCCAAGGAAGCCTTCGGGCTGAGGGTTTAGGGTTTAAGGTTTGGGCTCTATTAGGGTTTAGGGTTTATGGAATTTACTTTCTTGTGCTCTGATGCTTGCTTTGATGTTTTTAAAGTTGCGCTGTTAGGGTTTAAGCTAGGGTTGGGGGTAGCCTCGGCCCTTTTCGGGCCTTCGGCGTGTCAGGGCCCGTAGAGGCCCTTATTTATTTGAAGGTCAGGGAAACCCTTTGTGTCTGCTCCTGGATTCCCCTTCTTTAAGGGCCTCAATTTAGCATCGATTTCACTACCAAAAAATCGCATTTTTCATTGCGGGTACGGGCATCCTGGGGTCCCCCTTCTTTTAGGGGGCCTTTTGAAGCCTTTTGAAGCATTTTGGTGGCTCTTGGGGTCTCTCGGGGCCTTGTTCGGACCTTCGGCGTGTCAGAGGTTTTATTCATTTAAAGGTCAGGGAACCTATTAATGAATTTTTCGCTAATGAGTATTTCAATCGCTAGGGTTTAAGCTCGGGTTCGGGGTAGCCTCGGCCCTTTTCGGGCCTTCGGCAAGTTAGGGCCCGTAGAGGCCCTTATTTGCTTGAAGGCCTTCGCAGGGTTTTGCGGTATTAGGGTTTAAGCTAGGGTTCGGGGTAGCCTCGGCCCTTTTCGGGCCTTCGGCACGTTAGGGCCCGTAAAGGCCCTTATTTACTTGAAGGTTGTCGTAGGGTTTTGCGGTGTCAGAATTTAGGTTGGGGGCCCGTAGAGGTCCTTGCTGATTTGGGGGGAGCAAAGAATATTTTTCATTGCGGGCAGGGGTGCCTAAAACCATCGTTTTCAATATTAAAAAATCGCATTTTTCATTGTGGGCACGGACAAATCTTGTGGTCCCCCTTCCTTTAGTGGGCCTTTTGAAGCTTTTGAAGCCTTTAGGGGGCTCTTGGCGCCTCCTGGCGCGGGGCAAGCCGGAAAGCCCTTGGCCCAGAGGCCAAAAAACCCTTGGCCTGGGGCCCTTGGTTGGGGAGCCCTTGGGCCGGGGTCTTTGGCCCGGAAGACCCTTGGCCCGGGGCCCTTGGCTCGGGGGGCCCTTGGCTATGGAAGTGGGGGGTCGTTGGAATAGGGAAATCTTGCTTATTTTGGGGGCCCTCGGTGGCTCGGGGGGCGCTTGGCCCGAAAAAGCCCTCTGGGGGCCCTTCGAGGGCCCTGCCTCTAATTGCCTTAGTTTGGGGGGCCCCTTGGTTTCGGGGGCGCTTGGGTCGGGGGGTCCTTGGCCCGGGGGGCCCTTGGCCCGGGGCCCTTGGCTCGGGGGCCCTTGGCCCGAAAACCCTTGGGCCACAAAAGTCTTTTTGGGGGGCTGTTGCATTAGGGTGGCCCGGCAGGCCCTTGGCGCCCGGGGGGCCCTTGGCTCGGGGGCCCTTGGCCGGCAGGAAAAGTCCCGAAAGCCAGGAAAAAGCGCAAAATCACGAAATTGAGCAACCAGCCTGCCTGGACCCCCTCGCCAGCCTCCTGGTCCAGGAATCCAGCCACCAGGGTCCAGGGGGCCCGGGGCAGGGGGTGCCGGCAAAC